TTTACAAAAGACAAAATGGAGGTGAGAAGTATTTATGGTGGTCCATTTGAGACCAGAAAATGTCTTCTGTGGCAGATGTTTTGTAAAAAGGAACAGTTGCATTAATGCTTAATAACTTAAATAAATTACATTTATTGTCTATAAAACAATTAGTATCATTTGTTAGGCAACGTGTGTCATTATCTTTCTGTATATGTATCTGTATGATAATGACAAGCCGTCTCTGTAGCTAATATTACCCTAATAGGAAGTACTAGCTACAGAGATGGCCTGATGCTTTTTATTTTATTTGTTATTTGCTATTTTTTCTATACTAGCATTATATTTAATGGTGCATACTTGGTTTTTAGTAATAAGTCAGCACGGGTGAAGACAGAACGTTTAAACACTAAGTGAGACCAACTAACACAGGAAAAAGGCGTAGTAAAGCCACATCGACGTCCTCCTCTTCAAAGCATCGATAAAATACTGTACGTATTGTCTAAAACAACAGTTCTACTACCTCCATCATATGTATGTTGTAATGTACATGTGTTTTTATATTTTACTTTTATACATTGTATAATCATTTTATTTTAATTTGTTTTGGAGAGGTGGCGCTTTGGCCCGGAAGCAATGTCTCTGTCATTGGTGTGGAACCCCAGGGTTCACCTCCTGGGCAAGGTCGAATCCCGGTTAGGGCGGTTGGTACCTTCCAGTGGACTCACCATCTGCAGGAAGGTTTGGGGGGATGGTACGGTGCAGTGTGATTTGGGTGGCGACTGCTGACCCAGTAACGGATAAGCGGATGAAAATGGATGGAGGGATGGATGGATGTTTTGGAGAGGTTCAATTAGTGCACCGCATTATTTACTTGTGTTTACTTTTATCGCCATATTTCAATTTTGTACTTTGTACTATTGAACAGGAAGCTAAAAGAAAATTATATAACTTACAATGTGATATTTCACATTTTTTGTAAAAAGACAAAACAATTGAACATTAGATAATTTTGTAATTATTGGTCATTTTTTTATCAAGAAATGACTGTGTATTGTTTTTATTTCCTAAAATAAATCACAAAATATAAATATACATATATAATTATTGTGTCAGAAAGTTGGGTGCACAGGAACCATTTTCATGTAGTACCTCATTCTGGTCTTGGGGTGGAGAGCACTTTTACATTTTATTTTTGCTGCCTTTTGCTTCCTTACGTTAGGCCACTGGACACATTCCAAGATGGATATGAAAGGACAGTTTGCAGTGAAGAGTTGGAAATACTGAAGTTGGTGTCATACTTTAGACCAGACTTTATCACCAGCGTGGTGCCCCTGTGGACTACCTAAGGTGCCAGCGTTGTAGGTTCTAAAAGTAAAACTAGTCAATAAGAGGGTCAGAAATTGTACTGTTACTGTGCTTTTTGGATCAGTTACACTTGGGATGATATTCAGATGGGTGTCATGACAATGGTAAGAACGGTGTCTGCTATTGTATGTCCCAGAACTGATTATTGCTAAATTGTTCGGGAAGTTTGTATCAGACAAGTAGCACTTCATATTACTAAGTGCTTGAAGTAGGTCTCTGTTTCAAAAAGGTTGGTGACCCCTGCTGTAGACTATCCAGCAGAGGACACTAAGCCTAAACTCTGATCTTTTTCTCGTTTAATAGATAATATCCTGTAGAGTGGAGAAACAACACTTAACTGCCTAAAGAGTCACGTAACACAAAATGAATGTTAATTCTGCATTTGTGGGTGCTTTTGAAATTTGTGTCTATATGTAGGCGTATATATATTTAACACAAAACTTACCAGTATACTTTGTTTCTTTGTAACTAGAGACTGTTGGTGAGCTCGTGAAAATTAGAATCCCCAGAGTCTGGTATACTGTGATGGACCACAACGTCATGAGACACCTGCGATTTCCCGATGGTTCATCTGCATCGATGTTTTGCTGGTGGAGGTAGGTGTCATCAGCTGCAAAAATTGACAAAAAATGTTTCTGACATTCAAAGAGTATGTTTTCAGAGCGACTATGATACAAAGGATGATTCAGCAAAACACTTAAACATCTGCTGAAGTAGAACTCACACTTTCGGGAAATATTTGTTTTGATGCATTAGCTTAACTTTGAAATAACATGTTTGCTGTGCCCTTGAGGAGTAACTTAATATCATTCTGACTTAAGGGATTGAGATGATATGAAGTAAAATGTGTTTTAAATCAACAGATAAAAAATAAACCACTCACATTTAAACCACAAGATCACTTTAAAGAGCTGGGGCACCACACAGTTTACTCCCGTTTGGACGTTAGCAGGTTAGCATACACGGCTGTGTTGAACACAAATCGGAGAAAATATGGCAGTTTACGAAAATGTTGACTACACACATGCTTACATGACATAGATGGACATACTGTCTCACACTTTTAGTGTGACTTGTTAATGGTATATTAGCAAGGTAATGAGTAATGTTTCTTTCATTTGAAAACTGGTAAAAACTAGTTTCTGTTTTTAACCAGCTCTTTAAACATTTACACATGACTTTGTATCTGCTTCCTGGAATTGCCCCATAACTATTCTCTCACACCAACAGCTTGTTCTCTTGTGTCATCTGAGAGACTGTTTATAAAAGAGTGGATCATGCAGATCATTAATTTGAATCACATGGTCTGACACAGTGGGAGATTCCCTTCAGGAAGATGATTTTATTCTACAGTTACTGACAGAAGATGAAAATGTAAGCCTGTAGTAGCATTTTACCCCCTCTTACCTGAGCCTATCCTTAGCCTTCACTCACCTGGAATGACGATGTGAATATAAGAAAGTGAAAGAAGAATGACCTGTAAGTAGATTGTTAGGCTAGGTGTGTTTAAAACGACTTAAAGTCCATGATGAATATTTCATGCAATAATCCACTTATGACAACAAAGCAAAATCTAACAGACAGCACCATCACTGTCATTTTTTTGTCCCAGTAGATATTTTGCAAATAATTTAACGTTATATAAAAACAAACATAATTACATAAATGTGTATTTAAGTAGCTTAGTTTCCATCGTAAGTTGGGACTCACGTGCTGTACATAAATACCTATGCCACTCACGTAGGCTAGAGCTGTAATGAAAAAAAAAAATTCAAAAAAACCCAAAAACAACACAAACAAAAGCAAAAGATGTTTTTGTACTGTTAAATAGTTCAAAGCAACATGGCAAATTAACCACCGTTTGAAAAAACCCCACCAAGAACCAACAACTTGTGGGTGAAATCTTTGTCACTGCATGACAACCAAGCTATTATAAAACTGTCCAGCTGGCGTAAATGCCAAACACTAAAAGCTAGTAATTTTATACAATCATCTTACATTTAACAACAACTTCTGAAAGGCTTTACCAAGTATTGAGGTCAGGTGACGTGTTGGCCAGTGATGGTGTGCTTTTCTATATTTGCATATAGCCCTCTGCAAATTGATTTCTGATTTTATTTAGTGCTTCTGGAACTTCTAGTTTGTTTTTTTTTAAACTTACATTTTAAATCTCAGTTCACAATAGGATTCAATCATTCCAAGAGAGAGCTTGAAGATGTTTTTTCAGAATAACAAAAAAAAAAAAACCCCAAAAAAACAAACAATGGTTGCACTACACTAATGTGATGTAATGTAAAATATGTCACTAAGCCAACCACAACAAAATCAAAAACTGTTACATCACAGCCATACACAAGTGCAAAATAAAACAAAATAATACAAAAATTGATTACAGAAAAAAATGGGAGTCTACAGTCATGGTGACAGTTTATAAAAAAAGGAATCCTGGATAAAGGCTATTTAAATGTGTACTCACCACCAACTGCTGTTTGTTTAATGCTATCAAACACAAAACCATTAAACATGAAAACAAAACAGCATACTTCCACTTTAAGTTAAATAAATATTCTTACAATAAAGTCTTGCCATAAAGAAGAACTATTTACTTCTTCTTCTTTTTTTAAACTTCAAGCAGTACTAACAACTCAGATCTGTACAGTATGGGACTGAGATCAGATAATGACCAAACCCACTCTTTTGAATATTCTCTTTTTTTGACATGGCTTTAGTCCTTCTGAAGTATCAATCAATCTTAATGTGAGCAGAGGTAAACTGGGTGATGTTTTATCAGAACTTCTGAAGCACACCGTGACTTTATCAAAAGGCGTCCATCCGTCCATGTGAAATGTACAGGTTCCACTTAGATGTTTTGGCACTTCCTGTAGTGTGAACATTTGTTTTTTTTTGTTTTTTTTAAGAGAGCATTCTGTGTCATCAGTCAGCAGCACTAGGCAACAGATGGGTGACCTCAAGGTGAATCTCTGCTCTTTCACTATCCTTCAGCTTCTTCACATTGGTCAGGACTTGGCAATCCAATAGTTTCTTCTCCATTTCACCTGCTTCTGAGTTATCGGCCAGAGGCAATGAGAACCTCTTGCAGTCGACTGTGGCCACGTACGGCACCAGGTGCAGCTGACTGCTTTCTTTGACCAGTTGTACGCAAGTGTAGAACTCAGGCTGTGTGCCATGGTTGTTGTCAGGAGGAGGTGTGGAGTCACTGTGCTGAATGACATTTTCATTCAATGGCATTTTGATGTCAGGACCAGGTTGGGGCAGACTAAAACCTGCTGCAGGCAGAGAGCAATAAGATAACTGACAGCGCTCAGATGGTGTCTGGTTTTCTGCCAGAAGATGATCTGGGGCTTCTGGCTTAATGACAAGAGTTTCTGTCTTTTTATTTGTAGATTTCACCAGGCTACTGGACTTCGTCATGTCTGTGGGACAGAAGCTGTCCACACTGACTTTTTCCCAGATTTCTTCCATGTAACTTGGTGATTTGTAGCTGTGGAAGGTACGGAAGTGATGATTGATCTCATCCAGCTGTCCCTTCTGTAGGTAAGAGTAACAACACAAGACAATCTGATTTAAAGAATATGTTTTATTAACATCTTATTTACTGGACTGTGCTGTCAATTCTTTAATGCTTACAGTAGCTGTTAATTGCCTTACCAAGATGAAAATATCCATAGTAAGCGTGTTAAAATGCATGTATATTCCTTCATGAAAATGATCTCCCTCTTGTTATAACTTCCACAGGGATTATATTACTCTCTGGTGATCCTTTGACAGAGGGCAAAGGTTACCTTCAGGAGCAGGGGGTCGATGCCCTGGATGCGTGGCTTCGGGACAGGTGGTAGGAAGAACACTTTTAACCTAAAGTAAACAGAGTAGACGATTGTGAATGTTCTTTTCATTAACACTTTGTGTTGACTTTTTTATTGAAAATATATATTCAAATATCAGCCTTAGAGAGGAGCCAAATAGAAATGGACCTTTTATGTGTGCCATAGCTCTGATTAACTTTTTGTAGGTCTGCACATTTGTGTTAGTTTGCTGAAATACGTTAATCTAAACCTCATGAAAACCTCTTATCTTTCTTAGTTAAAGTGAAACAGTCAAACCTAAAGGAATGACTTTTCCTGCTCCATTCGCCACTAAAGAATCCTTCGGTGTGTTTAGAAGGCCGAGGTTCTCCCACCAGAAGCTTTAGAACTTGTGACAATACAGAAATACCAGTTAACCAGTAGTTAACTGGTATATGGCAAATCACAACAATTACATACAGAACTATTAATTGATTATATTATTATTATTTGATACATACCACACAAGAAGCACTAGTACCATTTAAAAGACAAAACGTCTCGCAAAAAATTTACATTGATTTAGAGGTGTGTTATTATTTAATATATTGTTTTTAACAGAATTGAAACATAAAGAAACTTTGTTTTACTTTTTGGAGTTTTTCAAGAATAAAAATCTATTTGGAATAAATCACTAGCAGATGTTATCCACAGATGTTCAATAGTAGACGTTTTACATCAGTGCTCTAAGTTGTAGACACCTTTGAATGTGTGTGTACTGTATGAGTAAACTTTCATACCTTTTGTTCTGGAAGAGTATTCCCACAGCAAATATCACCAGAGTCACAACACCTACACTCACCAGGACCACCACTAACAGCTTTCCTGCAAATGTACAAACCAAGTATCACTGTGATTCTAGAGTCTAGAATTCTTGTCTTTGGTCATCCTCATTTCTCTTTTGATAGCTCCAAATGTTCCAAAGATTAGTGCTTTAATATTTTACTACATGGCAATATTAAGGTTTGTGCTTTCATCATAGCAGATATTAACAAAATGTAAATCTTGCTCTGTAATTTAGTATTAAATGTATCTGAATAAGCCTATGTGATCAGCTGCCTATGTAGCCCAGGGAAAAGAAATGGCAGTGATTCCCATTTGATCCTTTTCTCATGGCACACAAATGTGCCATGAGAGATCATTAGGTGTGCTGTGGAAAATTATCCAATGTCACTAAATTGGTCCCAAAACTATTTTTCTTCTGCTAGGCTGCAGCAATTGGCTATTTAAACTAAAAAAAAATCAGAGCTGTTGAAGAAGATCTCTGTGAGTGTCTTTCTTCAATTCCTGCTTAACTATTAGCCTAACTACCTAATTTAGCATACGTAGGCACGGGGTACAAATTAGCATGAATAGCAGAAGTTTCTCAAGGAGCAGATGAGCTTAAGTCATTACAACCAGCACAGAAATCTGATCAGAACATCTTAAAAAAATATGACATATCTTAAAGCTCAAAAAAGATGAAGATTAAACATCACAGATCTACAATTTTGTTTCTAAAAAAGTCATAATAATAAATGACAAAATGGAAAATATTTTGGTCCTCAAACAACCATACAAGGGTTGTCTGTGCTAACTACGTCATTTAATGTAAATGAAAAGGACACAAGCTCCCTGAAAGCCAACTGTAACGGTGCTCCCCTTACAGCCCAAACACATAATTAATGATAAGAATAATTAATATGCGTAAATAATTTTGCAATTTAAGATTCATTATCTATACTGCAATAATCTCTGCCATATCATGATATTCATTTGAAAATATTCTCCACGCCCTCTGTTGTTAATACGTATTTTTAGGGATGAAAGTCTTGAATGGCCGTACCTGTTGGTGGTCCAGAGGGGATTGTCATTACCAGCATGTCACTCCATTTGCTCCACAGGCCGTAGTTACGTGAACGGCACCGTATTCTGACCATGTAGTCGCCAACAGCGAGGCCGAATAGCTCCACATGAGTGTCTTGCTGCAGGTGTTTTACCTAGAAAACCATTAAACACAACAAACCTCACTGGAGAAGTAGCAGGTTGGCTAGTTCTAAAAACTGCTGGAGGGAAGCTAATGGCCGTACCTTCCAGTTTCCAGGCTCAGAGATCGGTCTGTACTGTAGCTCAAACAGTAGTGTGATCCATCCGTAGTGCAGGTGAGAAGGTACTGGATACTGCCAGGACAGGTACACGCTCTGGCCGCTGTCATCCTCACTCAAGTCTGTCAGTTTGTAGGTCAAGTTGACTGGAGCCTCAGTCTGAACTGTAGGTGACACAGACAAAATATTGCATTCAAAACAAATTTAAAAGATTATTATTTTACATTACTTTATTTGAAATTTATCAAATTGGTAGATTAAAAATAACAATACAATTACTTACAATTAATTTGATCTGGATTCATTGTCATAATTTTCCAGATCTTAAAGTATTGGGGAGCTAATTGTTTTTGTCTCCCATTTTTGGCTTTTCTATTTTTACTTTGAATATTATTATATTATATATTATTTTTATATTCTCTGGGTTTTTTTTGGGGGGGTTACCTTTTATCAACTGTTTGCTAACTTAGCTGTCCCTGTGCTGTAGGCACATTTTATTATTAAGCTTTAGTGTGGTGGCTAGCTACTTTAGCTAGTTTTTAATTTTTCATTCACACATTTGCATGTTTAGCCTTGAAGAGAAACAAGGGTGCTGTCTAGGGTTAATAAAGGATCAAATTAAAATAACAGTATAGTTATAAACTAGGCAAAACTATAATACTACAGTAAATATGTAGAAAACAGATACATATATTCCAGGATGTGGAACCTTCTAGAAGGTATTTTAGGTCTACGTATAGTTCCAACATTCAGTGTGTGCCACCGTCATGTTTATAGTTTTATATTTTATATGGTCTGTTAAAAAACAGAATCATTTTTGTTCTTTGCAAAACAAGAGCTAAGGGTTAGCTGTTAGATAAAAAACAAAATCCACAAGTTAACTGGGTTCAATCCAAGAAGCAAAGAGTAAAGCTGTAAGTTCATTTAATTTGCTTTGAGGGAACAGGTCACAGGATCAGCAGTACAAAGAACTGCCTTTGCTGACATTTAAACACTGACCTTTAAATACTGTACTGTATTTGTGTGTGTGTGTGCGTGTGTGTAATAAGCAAGATCATTCAGCATATACCTCTGTGGGAGTCTGTCACATGTCGGTTCATGTATGTGCTTGGTTCTTGGTGCGTCTATTCTTTGACACAGGTTGAGCCACATGGTTGAAGCTGTCTTGTCACTCCTTAAATCTAGTCTAAATGTGCAGCGTGTTTATTGCAAACATTTTTTCAAATCTTCAAGAGTTCAGTTAATGAGGATGTGCAAAAACATGATTCCAGTGTATGTTAGGTTATGGACAATGGTCAATAGACATTATTCTTAAACTCCTGGGAAACATGATGCGTGATGACAAATGATGAAAAATTTCTCTTGTGACCCACCTGAGGGTCACGACCCAGTCTTTGGGAAACAATACTTGACATATACATTTATTAAGAAAGTCTTGTTCCCTTATTCAGATGAGAAAGACAGCCGTGTTTACATTCATCTGTGGTACGCTATATTTTTTTAAAACCTTGTTACCTTAAATACGTCCCATAAGTCTGAGTCTTCTGATGACATGGCTTGTCAGACCATATTGTAGAAGACAATAAAAAAATTCAACGGCACACTTTCCGTGTGGTCTTCATCGCTCTTCGCTGTGACTAGCACGATGTAAGAGCAATAGTTTCCCAGGCAACGGGGCCTGTTTTGGAATATAACATGTAATTGTATAGAAGTTATGACTTATGAGTTATGTCACCGCCACTGACTCCCCACAGAGTCAGGTGGAGAGAGGGTGAAACTTCACAATGCTGGATAAAAACACTCTTCATAGGCAGTGAGTCACTCACCTACGTCTGCCACATCTATGCAGTGTTGCTGGGACGTGTAGTTCCTGTGGGCTGTCACAGCTGTCACGTTCATACAGTAGATCTCCCACACTGATGTGTGGACTTTGTCGAAGTGGCAGCTGTTGGAACCTGCAGTCACATAGTCTGGACATCCTTGTATGGGGCCCTTTCTGTACAACAAGATTAAGAAAAACATATATTTATCAATTTTAATTCTAATTTTGTTTAGTGAAATTGTCTCGACCGTTGAAGAGGAGTCAACATAAATGTTACTGAGTTTTCTGTTCTATCTAGGAATCTAGGGATTCCTGGATAAATCAGTGGGAAAATGGAATATAAGGAATGTTTGTTAAACCACTTCAAGGCTAATATGAACATGAACATTAAATTGACATTAAGTTCATTTGAGCTGGGACTCTGCAGCATGGCTGTAAGTGTTCAATAATATTAGACCTGGTCTGTAGCTCATGGTCTTTCTGTTCTGTAGGGTTTGTTCTCTCAAGTTCTCCCAATGGGTGTGCTTGGATTTTATGGATAAAAACTTGAAATTTACCTTTAGTGTGAATGTGAGTGTGAATGGTTATTTTGCACTACCCTGCCAGGTGATTGATTTGGCTAATGTCCCTCAACAGCACTGAAACCAACGGTCAGTAGTGATGACGTGTATGGACTTGAAGGAGAAAGGTTTTTGCAACCTTCCCTATAAAATCTATGAATGTTGAGTCAGTGCTTAACTGACATTCATTTGTCCTCGTCATCGTCATCATGCAAAAGACATTTAAACGAGTACTGCTGAAATTAAATGTATTCAGTCAACATATGTTGTGGCTTGCAGTATGTTGCTCTTGTTGTCTTTGCACAATGTTGTTGTTTTTGTCTTCCATTTGCATAATCGACACTTTCCTCTTTCTTTGAACTCTGCACTCTTTTGAACTCT